TGAGAAAGACGAAGACACATGATTCTGAACGGAACACGCCATCCGCCGTTATTCATATCAGTGGTTAGAGAGTTGAAAATATCGGCCAAGTTTGTTGTCTTTGGTACCCAAACGTTGCTGAGCTCCTATGTATGCTGCAGACTTTAGATGCTTCGTTGTGTACATTTCGCCACCTCAGTCATGGGTGTGTTTCGTATGTGTAGTCATCAAACGCACTGTCGCACAAATCAAATTAATGCTCTGCAAAACCTGATTCTATTGATGCTGTTGTACTGAATTGAGATCTGGGTACTGTTTATAAGATACGTGTGTTAGCGTTTTAGTCGTCCACATGAGACGTCAGGAACTGCTCTTCCACATCAAATGGTACGAATTTGTCCCATGCCAGTCTTCGATGCTTTAGAGAGCCCTTTATCATAACCATATTCCGCTGTTATAGTCCCATTGGAACTGCGACTACAAATCGAAGACTCATCAACATAAATTGCAACATTAATGTGATTATATTATTGTATTATGGCAAAGTGACCGTGTTTAGAATTTTGCGAAGCTGAAGTTTTTTTATTGACTTGGTTATCTGCAGGTTATGAATGCGAAAGTTAAACTGTCCAGGAGACACAAGGAAAATCCACTGAAGCATTCGAAAAATGGTAGTGGAAATGGTGTCACTCCGCGATGAGCAGCGGTGAACATTGTAGAAAATGCATTACAAGATTTAACGCGTAATTGACATCAAGCGCGATGCAGCGTTTGCTGAACATCACATTAGAATTTCAAAAGATGTGCTGAGGAATACTATTTCATGTTCATAACGAAGGGCAGCGTCGAATAAATGTATCAAAATGAATCATCGCCGGGCCCCTTCTTCCGAGCTCTATGGTTCATTAACGTGGAAATCAAGTGCTATTTAATTATTTATGACTATTCGAAAATAACTTGCATGTGTTCGGTAAATATTCTAGTTTGAATTTCTTTCAGTCTCTGATCTTTCTGTGATGTACTTTGAAACAATTTAAACGTTTGCTTTATTTTTTTAACTCTGTTTGAAAATTCTGCTTATCCTTTAACTGATTCTTTGTTCAGACTTGGATACAACATTAAGAAACTGTTGAAAGAGGAAACGCTTTACAGAGACAGGGAAAGCCAGATCAAAGCTATCAATAAAACTTTCGACGACGTCAAGCAGCCGGTGAATTACCACTACAGCAAGCCAGGTGTTTATGCTCTTCAGCAGTTGCCTGTGTTTCCTGATTTTGAGGTATAAAGATGTGATTTTAATTTTCATCTCCACGGTGATCAGTAGGTAAGTTTATGTTGTGCATCATGAACTGGTGTAAAGCTGAACTTTTTCAGCTAGAATACCGAATCAAAAGGCAGAAAATTATGTCATAGTCACCGCTGTTTTTGCTTCAGTTTCATCTTCTCGTTTTCCCGTCACATGTCAATTGTACCACGTCGTCCTCTTCACCTCTATCGTTCAACATTTTCTTCCTACCGCTAGCTGCATTCGCTTTGCTGCCAGAGATATAACAATACAACATGATGCGGCTTTCCATCCGGCATTGCAAGGAATAAACGCCATAAATGGCTTGTAGTTGTATGTCCTAGTTATCTGGAGAGCGGCAGCTTATGTTAGCTTTGTTAACATCTTTGACAAAGGACTTGCCCCTTGTTGCGAGCAGATCAGCTTTTAATAACTTTTTGCCATGTTTTAGATTAACCCAGATTTCTTTTATGCTCAGTTGCTTGCTGCCACGGAGGAAGGTTTTTTGACTTTTTCTGACGTTTCAACCACTTTATCGAGCCGAATCAGTATAGACTTGGATTTCTTAGTTCTTTGGAGACTTCTTGAACTTGGCAGTTTTGAGGACTCGTTACATTATATATCGTTACTCGACGATTCCACCAGAATGTGAGAATGTAGCACAAGCAGCATTGCTGGAAACAGTTCAGTTTATGTCTTTGGTGTTTTAGAACTGCAGCTGTTTCAAAGCCATACTAGAGAACGGAGAAGATTGGTAGCTTCTGTTTTTAGGGTGGTAACATTCGTCTTTATAGATATTGAACGGTCTTTTCATAATCTATGCAGCCTCACAAACTTCAGAGCGTCGATTAACCTTTGTGTCACAATTGCCTAAAGAGCCCTCTAAGTCGCTAGAAGCAAGAAATCGGTTGAATTAGAAGATAAACATATATTTTTCATACATTTTCTTTCTCAACTTCATTATTTACCTCTTTTCAATCTTATTTGCCAGAATAGACGCATTGCTGCTAACTGTAGCTTTGAGAAAAACTGGACGTACTTTGAAAGTTGACGTGTCTTCCTCCTCCTAAACATTTTGGGTTTTGTTCCTCCTTCATGAAATGTGCCGTATAGGGACGGAGTCAGTTTTGCGTTGTGTCAGATTTTTCAGATTAAAATAACTTTCTGTTATATTTAGCTATGGAAATACCCATTTGCTCAGGTAATATTCGACGCTGATCCTTCACCTGCTGGATGCTCTGTTTCGGTTCAGGTCGAATATATGTCTCAGGCAATTATCCGGTGAGTTTCCATGCGGAACCCTGTTGCAAATATTTCTCCTTTTTTGATGATTTTTTACATGTAAATGTTACCGAGTCTATCGATACTCCATTTACTATGGAAGATACAGTGTTTTTTACCTTTTCAACTATGCTTATGTGATATATTTAACTTGTTGTGTGAGCAACGATGCTATTATGTAATGTATATTTTAGTTATATAACCCATATGTTTGGGTTCCCTAACAGTGCATTAAAACAGTCCGTTTTATTGATCTGTTTTAATATTTTCTTCGTTAAGTTTGATTGTTAAAATTTCTGAAGCATTATGCTATTTTTCATCAAAAAGATAACTGATATATTCTTTCACTAGCAGTGGACTGTCATTTCACCTGTCTCATCAGTTTGGTTTACTACGTGGTTTAGTGATTTTTTTGACTTCTTTTGTTTCAAGTATCATGTAGCTTTTGTATTAAGCAGAAGATTTTTATGGTTCTACAAAAACTAATATGGTGAACGGAACTGCTTGCATGCGGTCTTCGAAGTCTAGCTTGGGAACTGTTTAAATATTTTACGTTTATTTGCTGATTGCTTTGTCATATATCCACAGCTATGAAAAACAAATTTGAATGCCAAAGCAATTTTGCAATTTTCGGTGCTTTGACGAAAGGATTCTACTGATATGAAAATGTGTTTCTGTTTAGTGGTATGATGGATCAGAGTGGAGAACAGTTTGTTGCATATTTCCTCCCCACAGCCGATACAATGCAAAAGCGGAAAAGGGACGAAGAACAAGGTGTAGAATACGTGCCTGATGAAAAGTAGGCATATTTGCAATTTATTTCGCTCTTATATCTGGATCCATGGTTTATGATGTGATTTCTTACTGTATAACCCAACATCATCAGCTAAATAATCGTCATTATCTTTCAAATTATCGTTTGAGAAGCAGGAGTAAAATTATGAACGTTAGTCAATTCAACTATCTGAATATTCATGTTTCTCATTATAACTGTTATTAAAATTTTAGAAATTACTAATAATAATTCAGATTAACGGAGAGACAGTGGAGCAGGTAGAAAAGATCAGGTACCTCGTAGTCGTATTTACTGGAGATGAAAAATTTGACGAAGAGATCGTCCGGCGAATTGGAGTAGCTAGTGGCGTTCTGCGTGAACTTACCCGACCCATTGTGACTAAAGCAGAGTTCAGTCTGAAAACTAAGCTCTCGATATTCAAGTCGATCTTTATCCCCATTCATACCTACGGTCATGAGTGCTGAATCATGAGTGAAAAATTTCGAACCTGTTTACAAACATTAAAATTGACTTTCTGAGACGTATTGCAGTCCTGAAGCATCTCGACATGATCCGGAATACCGACATCCATGAGAGCCTCTTATTCTCCAGATTGAAAAGTCACAGCTGCGATGGTTTGCGCACGTGTTGGAAATATATAGTCATATATATATATAGTCATTGCAGAATTATTCATAGGACATTAAGCGATTTGCACCATTGATGTCTTATGTGTCAACTGAATAGAACAGATATTTCAGTGTAGAATGGCATAGATTTTTCGTAGTTTCATTGACGCATTGTAGATTTCATTCACTTAATTGGAGCTGCGGATAAGATAAAGAACTTAAACTTACTAGAATTATAGTACTTGGAAACTAGATTCTGCCTCGACGATTGCATATTCCATGGTTCTGAAGTCAACAATGAATTCTACTTCTGAAAACAAATCTTAAATTATTCCGTTTTAATTATGGTTTTGTTTTATTTGTCGTTGTTAGGTATGACTTCAAATTGGCCAGGGAATACAACTGGACCGTAAAGAACAAGGCATCCTCAGGTTATGAAGAGAACTATTTCTTCGTTTTCAGAAATGAGGGCGTATTTTACAACGAACTTGAGACCAGGTTTGTAATTTACCGTAAACGTGATGGACTCTGGAATACTGTACTAATAATAGGGTGCGATTGAACCGAAGGAGAGCGAAAGAAGGTCTGCCTCACATACTCAATTCACGTCTGATGGTAAAGCACCGTGAACTCAATGAACAAGAGATGCAGGCTCAGGTGAGAAGATGCATGACTTTTGTGAATAACTTTATTCACTGTATTCTTGGTAGGAAAATCGCATGCTATACTTGCAACCACCTCAAGAACAGGAAGAAGCCGAAGAAGCTATAGAAGAAGTTGCTGATGCTGAGGCCGAATCTGAAAAAGGTAGTTTCAGCGATTGATAAATTGGCACTAGACACGGATAATTTGTTAATTACAGAAGTTGATCTTCGTGTATTAGTCAGAGATTAGCTTTGCGCATCGAAGCAGTTAATTTTCGTGGTAGCAAGACATTAGTCTTTTTTGAATTCATGTACTTGTATAGCTTTTCGTCATATTAATACTTACCGGAAATGCTGTTGATTCTCTTATTCAGTCTTA